TCGGGGGCGGGGACTGATGTGAATGTACAATATATATGTAGAGCGCGGCGTAAATTGACGGCGATATATAAGAACCTGAAATAAATAAAATAAATAATTGGCTCCCGTCTAAATTAGCCCTAGTATGAATGAATGTGAGTTAGGGACCTCAGATTGTACGCCCCTTGAGGGACTGATGTGAATGTACAATATATATATGTAAAGCGCGGCGTACATTGATGCCGATATATAAGTACCTAAAATAAATAATAATACTGCAGCAGAGATTCACTTATTTCCATTTTTAATGATCAAGAGCAACAAAATTTTAAAACAGGTCTTAACCACATGACCTCCAGAAGGTTTTACCCCCTTCACGGCCAAGGCATTTTTTTGTTATTCCTCACTGCGCTACTTTAAAAAGACAATTGTGCAGTCATGCAACACTGTGCCCATAATAAATTTATATCTTTCTTTTTTCACAAAAATAGAGCTTTTTTTTTTTTTTGCGGTATTTAATCACCTCCGGGTTTTTTTTATTTTTTAGTATACAAACCAAAAAATTTTTTTTTTTTGGGGGGGGGGGGATTTTTTTACTCTTAGAAAAGATATCCAATAAAAATAAATAAATAATATTTCTTCATAAATTTAGGCCAAAACATATTCTCACACCTTTGGTAAAAAAAAAAAAAAATCTCAAAACGTGTATATTAGCGTTCTAGCATCTACAAACTATGGTGTATATACTGGCATTTACGCAGATATGACGCTATACTGGTAATGCCGGTGATCAACGACTTATAGTGGGACGATAATACTGTGGCGGGCAATCTGGTGCTGGCTGGGAGGTACACTAACGGACATCAATAGTAACAGTAATACAATGATCAGTGCGAATACTGTACACGGTCACTATACTAATGACACTGGTTGGAAGGGGTTAAAATCTAGGGGCATTTAAAGCAGAGCTCTACCCAAAAGGGGAAGTTCCGCTTTAAGGACTGCTCCCCCACTCCCCATTAAGGATTGGCACCTTTTGGGGGAAGGTGACTGAATTTGACAGGTACCTGCTCCCACTTCCGGTCCAATCACCTAGCTAGCGGAAGATGTCCTCCCTCCCTGTAGTCTTTTGGGACACATGACAGGTCCCAGAAGACTACAGGACCATTCATGAAGCGCAGCACTACTCGCGCATGTGCAGTGGGTACCCGGCTGTGAAGCCGCAAGCTGGGTGCCCTCACTGAAGATGCTGGCCTCCTGGAATACAGGAAGGCCGATGAAATGGGCTGCGGGGGACACACTGCGGGGACCGTGGGACAGGTAAGTGGCTGTTTTTTTAAAAGTCAGCAACTACAGTTTTGTAGCTGCTTTTATTTTTTGACAGGGTGAGTGGAACTCCGCTTTAAGGAGTTCTTTGTGTGTGTAACAAGTATGTGTGTGATATGGGCTGCTTTTACTTTACTGGTTTTTCTCCCTGCTTTTCAGGGAGAACAGCCAGATCGCTCTTCACAGTACACAGAACCCTTCCACTGCAGTGCCTGGGAGGGGGTGTGTGTGAGACGCATAGGAAGGAAGATTGGGATCAGTTAGTGGAGGTAAAGGACATTTTTTGTTCACTTTATGAGGCTTTTGCATCACTCAGTAAGTGGATTTAACATCATACAGGAGCCTTGTACTTTAAAATTATCATTGCAAAGTATATTGGAAGGTTGGGGTGACCATCGGGTGGTAGGAGGTCAAACCCCGATGGATAAAGTGCCATGTCCCTATATACAATATTGAAAGGAAGAATATGGAAATGGACTTTCTAGGCACGGAAACACAGTACACGAAACAATAAAATCAATATTCCTTTATGAACATCATCTCTAAAATGTATCTTGTATGACATCATTGCACCATTAACCCACAGCTGATATCCCATAACCCACCGACCACCTACAGTTGTGTTCAAAATAATAGCAGTCAGACATCACTAACCGGATCAATCACTGTTTTTGCTAGAAATGATATTTCTACATGGCAAATAATTTCCTAGCAGGTGTAGTAGAGTAATAGAAATCCAACAGACCCAACAGTCATGACATGCATGCTGCTGATTCTGTGTCATTGAATCACTCATTGAAAGGGGCATGTTCAAAATAATAGCAGTGTGGAGTTCTATTAGTGAGGTCATTCATTCTTTGAAAAACAGGTGGCAATTATTGCCCTTATTTAAGGAAGGAAGGCAGCAAATGTTGTCCATGCTGGTTACAGTACATTTCTCTCTGAAATTCTGAGGAAAATGGGTGGTTCCAGACATTGTTCAGAAGAACAGCGTATCTTGATTAAAAAGTTGATTGGAGAGGGGAAAACATATAAAGAAGTGCAGTAAATGATCGGCTGCTCAGCTAAAATGATAGCAAATGCTTTAAAATGGCAACCAAAACCTGAAAGACGCGGAAGAAAGCGAAAAACTACCATTGGAATGGATAGAAGAATAGCCAAAATGGCGCGGACTCAGCCAACAATCAGCTCCAGGAAGATGAAAGAAGGTGTGACGTTCCCTGTGAGGACTGTTACAATGAGAAGACGCCTATGTGAAGCCAAGCTATCTGCAAGAAGTCCCCGCAAAGTCCCACTGTTGGAAAAAAGACGTGTGCTGAAGAGGGTACAATCTGCCAAAGAGCACATTGACTGGCCTAAAGAGAAATGACGGAACATTTTGTGGACTGATGAAAGTAAGATTGTTCTTTTTGGGTCTAGTGGCCGGAGACAGTTTGTCAGATGACCCCCAAACACTGAATTCAAGCCACAGTACACTGTGAAGACAGTGAAGCATGGCGGTGCAAGCATCATGATATGGGGATGTTTCTCATACTACGGTGTTGGGCCTATTTATCGCATACCAGGGATCATGGATCAGTTTGAATACATCAGAATACTTGAAGAGGTCATGCTGCCTTATGCTGAAGAGGAAATGCCCTTGAAATGGGTGTTCCAACAAGACAACGACCCCAAACACACCAGTAAACGTGCAACATCTTGGTTCCAGACCAACAAGATTGATGTTATGGAGTGGCCAGCCCAATCCCCGGATCTTAATCCAATAGAAAACTTGTGGGGTGACATCAAAAATGCCGTTTCTGAGGCAAAACCAAGAAATAGAGAAGAACTGTGGAATGTCATCCAATCATCCTGGGCTGGAATACCTGATCACAGGGGCCAGAAGTTGGGTGACTCCATGCAACACAGATGTACAGCAGTTCTCAGAAACAGTGCGACTACAACCAAATATTCATGAAGTCATTCAAAGGAAAGCAAAATCTTCCAACATTTCTCAGTTTATATAGTGAATGTTTGAGTTTGTAAAGAAGAATACAAACACTGCGATTTTTTTGAACGTCTAATATTCACTTTTCTTCAATTTTTTTAGAGGAACAACACAAATTTGATGTATTTTCTTCATGTTGTGATTTGGAATAGAATGTGTCGTGTTCCCAATGCATTTGTGTGGATGGAAATAAAAGCTATTAGAAGGATGTGATGTGATGTTAATAAAGGAATATCGATTTTATTTTTTTGTGTACGGAGTTTCTGTGCCTAGAAAGTCCATTTCCATATTCTTCCTTTCGATATCATTGTATACACCTGAAGAGCATTTTTCTTTCAGCAAAATGTATTTTCACTTTCAAGGAGAAAGTTGTCAAATCCTTTGAAAACACATCAGCGGTGTTTATGGGTAAGCACATCCAGTGTATATGGTAGGCGCACCGACACAAATATTGCACCAAAGGTGAATTTTGTGGAGTTTTCCAGCCATAAACCGCCTCCCTTCTACAGTCCAAACTTTTGCTCTCCAATAGATTGCACAATCTGTAGCTCAACTGAAATTTATCGTTTTATATCACAATATGATTTTTATGATGTGGAGACTTTTATGATGTCAGGGAGGTCAGTTGTAACTCTACGAACATTTAATTGCCTGGAGGAAAGGTTCACTTTATGAGACACAATTCTGAGTTTATATTCTTTATCTTAGCAAAATCATTTATATATTTTAAAAGGAATAATTTATTTTTTCAATAAAATACACTATAGAGCCAAGGGGCCCCAGATTTGGAAATACTGTGCGTAGTTTAAAAGTCATACCTGCAGTACACCCATTTTCCAAGGAACTCCAGGGTTCCTACACAGTTCACTAAGGGTTCATTGAGCTGTGGCGGATTGATCCCCTATCTGTGATTGCCAAGATGGTTCTGGGGACAACACAACTTGCCAAGCTGTCTGTAAAAGTGAAATTCTGATTATCCTGTAAGGAGCATTCTTCCTACTGATCACCAATGTAAGGAGCATTCTTCCCACTGATCACCAATGTAAGGAGCATTCTTCCCACTGACCACCAATGTAAGGAGCATTCTTCCCACTGAACACCAATAGAAGGGGCATTCTTCCCACTGACCACCAACGTAAGGAGCAGTCTTCCCACTGACCACCAACGTAAGGAGCAGTCTTCCCACTGACCACCAACGTAAGGAACATTCTTCCCACTGATCGCCAATGTAAGGGACATTCTTCCCAATCGCCAACGTAAGGGACATTCTTCCCACTGACCGCCAACGTAAGGGACATTCTTCCCACTGACCGCCAACGTAAGGAGCACATTCTTCCCACTGACCACCAACGTAAGGAACATTCTTCCCACTGATCGCCAACGTAAGGGACATTCTTCCCACTGACCGCCAACGTAAGGAGCATTCTTCCCACTGACCGCCAACGTAAGGGACATTCTTCCCACTGACCGCCAACGTAAGGGACATTCTTCCCACTGACCGCCAACGTAAGGAGCATTCTTCCCACTGACCACCAATGTAAGGGACATTCTTCCCACTGATCGCCAATGTAAGGGACATTCTTCCCACTGACCGCCAATGTAAGGGACATTCTTCCCACTGACCGCCAATGTAAGGGACATTCTTCCCACTGACCGCCAATGTAAGGGACATTCTTCCCACCCGCCAATGTAAGGGACATTCTTCCCACTGACCGCCAATGTAAGGGACATTCTTCCCACTTACCGCCAATGTAAGGGACATTCTTCCCACTGATCGCCAATGTAAGGGACATTCTTCCCACTGATCGCCAATGTAAGGGACATTCTTCCCACTGACCACAATGTAAGGAGCATTCTTCCCACTGACCACCAATGTAAGGAGCATTCTTCCCACTGACCACCAATGTAAGGAGCATTCTTCCCACTGACCACCAATGTAAGGAGCATTCTTCCCACTGACCACCAATGTAAGGAGCATTCTTCCCACTGACCACCAATGTAAGGAGCATTCTTCCCACTGACCACCAACGTAAGGAACATTCTTCCCACTGACCGCCAACGTAAGGAGCATTCTTCCCACTGACCGCCAACGTAAGGAGCATTCTTCCACTGACCGCCAACGTAAGGAGCATTCTTCCCACTGACCGCCAACGTAAGGAGCATTCTTCCCACTGACCGCCAACGTAAGGAGCATTCTTCCCACTGACCGCCAACGTAAGGGACATTCTTCCCACTGACCGCCAACGTAAGGGACATTCTTCCCACTGACCGCCAACGTAAGGGACATTCTTCCCACTGATCACCAACGTAAGGGACATTCTCCCCACTGACCACCAACGTAAGGGACATTCTTCCCACTGATCACCAACGTAAGGGACATTCTTCCCACTGGTCACCAATGTGTGGGACATTCTTCCCACTGGTCACCAATGTGTGGGACATTCTTCCCACTGATCACCAATGTGTGGGACATTCTTCCCACTGATCACCAATGTAAGGGGCATTCTTCCCACTAACCACCAATGTAAGGGGCATTCTTCCCCACTGACCACCAATGTAAGGGGCATTCTTCCCACTGACCACCAATGTAAGGGGCATTCTTCCCACTGACCACCAATGTAAGGGTCATTCTTCCCACGGATCACCAATGTAAGGGTCATTCTTCCCACTGATCACCAATGTAAGGGGCATTCTTCCCACTGATCACCAATGTAAGGGGCATTCTTCCTACTGATCACCAATGTAAGGGGCATTCTTCCCACTGATCACCAATGGATGTAATGGAGGCCCTGTCCCCTCCGACCACAAATGTAATGGAGGCCCTGTCCCCTACGACCACAAATGTAATGAAGGCCCTGTCCCCTCCTACCACAAATGTAATGGAGGCCCTGTCCCCTCCAACCACAAATGTAATGGAGGTCCTTTCCCCTCCAACCACAAATGTAATGGAGGCCCTGTCCCTCCAACCACAAATGTAATGGAGGCCTTTTCCCCTCCGACCACAAATGTAATAGTGGTCCTTTCCCTCCGACCACAAATGTAATAGAGGTCCTTTCCCCTCCGACCACAAATGTAATAGTGGTCCTTTCCCCTCCGACCACAATGTAATGGAGGCCTTTCCCCTAGACTCATCTGTAATAGAGGTCCTTTCCCCTCCGACCACAAATGTAATGGAGGTCCTTTCCCCTCCTTTCCCTCCGACCACAAATGTAATGGAGGTCCTTTCCCCTCCGACCACAAATGTAATGGAGATCCTTTCCCCGTCCGACCACAAATGTAATGGAGGTCCTTTCCCCTCCAAATGACAATGTAATTTTTGGGGTCCTTTCCCTCTCTGACCACAAATGTAATAAAGGCCCTTTCCAAATTTCATGGGGCATTTCTCAACTGATCAACACTACAAATGTTATTTTTATTCATATGAAATGAATATTCAGTGTGGCCCTTTGGATCTGTCTGGGGCCAGGATTGAGCACTCCTGCACCTTACCTGGATTTGTTCTTGAACACATCATCAGAGCCCATTTACATTTTTGCAGTGCGTTAATATCCAAAAAATGTGCGGCACCACAAAAAGGTTTCAACACAATGCATGTGCATTGAGTTGCCACTCAAAATGAATAGCAAAACACCACAAGCATTGCTGCATGTTGCATTAATTATTTCCATCTCCAATACTTCCATCATGTAGATGTAAATCAGCCCCAAGTTTTTTTTTCCTTATGCAAGTACCTGGATGTGACCAGGGGATCAGCCTCTTGGAGTCCTGTACTACAGAGCGTTGGTTGGGGAGGCCAATCGGTTCATCTGCTGACAAGGAGCATGCTTACTGGAGGAGAGAGCAGTGGAAGCACAATGCTGGCCATCAGAGCGAGGACATCCAGCGGCAGACATTTCTAGACTGAAGGTAAATGGCCGTTTCTATTTTATCTTTAAATGGACAATTCATTTTCATCTTTTTTTTTTTTTTTTTGGTGGAGTTTCGCTTTTAACCAAGACTTATCAAAAGAAGCACATGGGAATTCGGAAGCCTTTAGCTCTGCTGGTCAAAAGGAGTGCCGGCATCCCCTAGGCGATGAGCAACTTGTGTAAAACCTTTATTCCATTCAACACCGAGACAACGGACATATTTTATTTATGACCCTAGAGCCAATTGGAGATGATTTTCAGCGTAGTGTGGGAAAGGAGAACACACCCACAACAAGTCTACATTTAGCATCATGTAACAAGAAGATATTGATCGATCCACCTTCCGTATTGAACATCAGAGAGATGTCCGCGCTGCCCCAAAGGGGAGATTCCAACATTGCATACCAGCCGAATGATCCAGTTGTGTCTGCCCTCGCTGAACCAAGAATGCCTCTTCACATCGGCACAGAGATGATCCATGAAATAATCACACACAGCGGAATTGTCTCTAGGATCCTAAGGCTTCACGAGCCCTACTCTGTCCGCCGGGGAAACGCAAATCGCTGGCAAAAACGTGGTTGCCAAGTGTGTTTACCCAGTCCTGCGTTTTCTCTCTGTCGTTGGTCGATTGTAAGCGCGAAAGAGCAGGGTCCTCGATCCCCTCATGTTTTGCATTGTATTGGTATTGTTCTGTCACATGTTCTGTCCCCCTCTGTAATGTACAGCGCTGAGCGAACTATCGGCGCTTTATAAATACTGTATAATAATAATAATAATTTTTCATGATGAAAGAAGGTTCTGAACAGCATCTGGAAATGGAAGAGTTAAAAAAAAAAATTTCCAAACGCAAAACACTTATAAAACCGCGGTTAGCAAGCATTTGAAACACTGATAAAATCTACCGCTGAACGCAAGTTTGGTGCGTTCAAAAAAAGTCTGTAAACTCAACTGCCTGTAAATGACGATGTGTACATGGACACATAGGAGAACATTAGGGAGAGTTCAGGGGCTGCTGAAAAAAAACGCAGAATAGCTCCTAAACGTGAGTACATGGAGCCTTTGTCTGGCTGAAAAAAGACAAAAGTCCATCCAGTTCAACCATTAAAAAAAAAAAAAAAGTTATAATCCTACACCCACAGTTGATCCAGAGGAAGGCAAAAAAAAAACCCAACAAAGCACGATCCAATTTGCTCCTGCTGGGAAACAATTCCTTCCTGATCCCCCGAGAGGCAATCAGATATTCCCTGGATCAACTTTCCCTATAAATGTTTTATCCAGTTTATATTCTGTGTATCCAAGAAAGAATCCAGGACTTTTTTTAAAGCAATCCAACTGGCCTTGTAGCCTTCTGGGACCTGTCACGTGTCCCAGAAGACTACGGTGGGGAGAACAAACTTTCGCTTTCGCCTAGGCGATCGTAGCGGAAGTGGGAGCGGGTACCTGTCAAATTCGGGTACCCGCTCCCCAAAGGTGCCAATCCTTAATGGGGAGCAAGGCTTAAAGCAGAACTTCCCCTTTTGGGTGGAGCTCCGCTTTAAGTATATATATTTTTGATATAATCACTTTTTGTATATAGGTTGAGATTCACTCATTTGCACACGTTATCACACATGGTAGGGGGAGGTGTATTGTAGTACACCTATTAATTCTTTTCACCCAATATTTAGAAGGAAGATTGGCAGCACAGCACTATTTAAAAGTTCCGGGGTGCTAAACACAAATCCGTTGGCAGCTCACACATATGCAATTCAACGATATTTCGTAGCTTTCACAAAGCTCAACTTTAACATTTCTTTCCAGATTTTCAGTTTTAGGTTTTAAAAAGGAAAAGGCCCAAAACTTACGATTATCTGAACGTTAACGGGGATTATTGGGGTGCCTGGAAACCTACGGCTGCCAGTCTCCTAACAGCAAAGGACTTCCACAGCTTCCGCGGTTTGTGACTGAGGAGATCAGAGATTGAAGCAAACCAAAATGTAATCGTTCAGATAAAGATTAATTCCAAGATCAGAAGGAATTAGTTATTACAAAACCAACACGTTTCACGAGTCAGAGAACATCCCCTTCATCAGGGCTACAAAAATAAATATACAGGCAGGTGTACCTTGCTTTACGAACGCCTCGGTTAACAATTTTCGGTTTACGAATGAAAAGCCATTGAAAATAACGCCTCGGTTTACAAATTCTTTTTCGCAATACGAACGGATTAATTGGTTTTCAATGCATTTATGATTTTTTTTTTTTAATCATGTCCTTGTTCAGTATTTATGCCTTTAAAGTGCACTTTATAAAGAGTTTTGAACAGATAAAAGACTTTGACTTTTTTTCTGACCTCCAGAACGGATTAATTGGTTTTCAACGCATTCCTATGGGAAACTGCATTTCGGTTTACAAATTTGTCGCAATAAGAAAAGTCAATTTTCGGTTTACGAATGAAAAGCCATTGAAAATAACGCCTCGGTTTACCAAATTATTTTTCGCAATACGAACGGATTAATTGGTTTTCAATGCATTTATGAATTTTTTTTAATCATGTCCCTGTTCAGTATTTATGCCTTTAAAGTGCACTTTATAAAGAGTTTTGAACAGATAAAATACTTTTTTGACTTTTTTCTGACCTCCGGAACGGATTAATTGGTTTTCAATGCATTTACGAATTAATATTTAATCATGTCCCTGTACAGTATTTATGCCTTTAAAGTGCACTTTATAAAGAGTTTTGAACAGATAAAAGACTTTTTTGACTTTTTTTCTGACCTCCGGAACGGATTAATTGGTTTTCAATGCATTTACGAATTAATATTTAATCATGTCCCTGTACAGTATTTATGCCTTTAAAGTGCACTTTATAAAGAGTTTTGAACAGATAAAAGACTTTTTTGACTTTTTTTCTGACCTCCAGAACGGATTCATTGGTTTTCAATGCATTCCTATGGGGCCGTGGAACCCAGCGTTTCGGTTTACGAATTTGTCACAATAAGCAAAGTCCTGCAGAATTAAATTTGTAAAGTGAGGTACGCCTGTAATGTGGTTGCATAAGTGTGCACACCCTCTTATAACTGGGGATCAGAATTAAGCAATCCCATTCACAATCCTGAATTTGAACAGATAATATACGTTTTGCTTCAAAAAGTTCTGGATTCTTTCTTGGATACACCGAATATAACTGGATATAACATTTATAGGTAAAGTTGATCCAGGGAATATCCGATTGCCTCTCGGGGGATCAGGAAGGGTTTTTTTCCTGCAGGAGCAAATTGGATCATTCTTTGCTAGTTTTTTTTTTTTGCCTTCCTCTGGATCAGCTGTGGGTATAGGATAACTTTTTTTTTTTTTTATGGTTGAAGTGGATGGACTTTTACCAGACTTGTTTTTTTTTTTTTTTTTTTTTACTTTTTTCTGACCTCCAGAACAGATTAATTGATTTTCAGTGCATTCCTATGGGAAACCGCGTTTCAGTTTACGAATTTTTCGCAATACGAAACATCCCGGAGAACGCATTAAATTCGTAAACCGAGGTACGCCTGTAATAGAATTCAAAATGATGCAGAAATATAAAAAATTGATATGAGACTCATATGTAAGTTTCACCCAGCGAATCCAGCATGTTCTGTAGTGAGCCGCCACCACCACACCCTGAAGCCCCCACTGCCATCCTCTTCCTGGCGTGATCAGGAGGTGGATACTTGCTCCTGGTTCTTGCAGCCAGTCCACTGACGTG